CTGGTGACTCAAGGGCAGACTGCAAATTAATATGCTGTGGTTGGAAACTTGGCAGGGGAGTACATGTATGTGGCCTTGTAATAATACTGAATATTTGGCAATAAATTCTGGAATTACTTTTTAATGTGATAAAAAAATGCAGGTTGTTTATCAAGCATGTCAAGCAGAGTCCACAATCAAAACATCCCTCTCTGCTCCATATGCTCTTCATTTTGGAATTTTTCTACCAAAACATGGAAAATTTGCGGAAAAAGTCAGCAAATTTACAAGTGTTCCTACCTGCCCCACACCACAAGAACCGGTAGATAAGATTGAATGGTTTGCATGGTAAAGGTTTAAAGATTACTACGGTAGCACCAGCAGGAAAATCTCTTTTGTGAGTTTGTGAGGTTCTCAAAAGAAGGGGGGATGGATTTCATGTTTCGGACAGTATACAGGGTGAGTTAAAAAAAAACGAAACCCAAATGTCGAGACAATTGTTTTAGTGAAGTTCTGCATGTAGTACTTTCAAAATATAGGGTATGAAAGCCCAATTCATAAGCTTTCTTTTAGTACAAGAATCATTCAAATCACTCATGTCGTTTTCAAGTTACGGAGTTTTAAATGCAACCACCGTTTCAAAGTTCTGTCCACAGATCACACAAAGAAGTGTGTTCTTTCAGCAAAACGAAAATAATTCACACACATCCTTATGTGATTTGTTTTCGTGTTGCTGAGAGAACACCGAACTTTTTTGTGATCCGTGGACAGAACCTTAGAATGGCGGCTGTGTTTTAAACTCCGTAACTTGAAAAGTACATGAGTGGTTTGAATGATTTTTGCACTAAAAGAAAGCTTATAAATTGGGCTTTCATATTCTAGATTTTGTAAGTGCTACATGCAGAACTTCACTTTAAAAATGGTCCCGACATTTGGGTTTCGCTGTTTTTTACTCACCCTGTACTCTGCTCGTCGTCATGAGCATACAGACTTCAGTCTCTTGATGACGGTCAGAACATACATGTACTGTCTGAAACGTTGAGTTTCCCTCGGTTGAAAAAGAACCTCCCAAACCCAAGAGAGAGATTTGTCACATGGCGCTAGCGTAAATCTTAAAACTGGCTTATGATCTCACGTCTTTTAAAACTCTGTAATGGGGAAATAAATAGATGAAAGTTACAGATGTATAGGGATTTATTTATGGTTCTTGGGGAGTGGTTTGTATTTTAAGAACAGTTGCCTTTTAATGGACAAGGGACAAGCGATGTCACACGTCATTTTTAAACAAGATAATGGAATTTTTTAACTCAGGATTAATGTTCCATTTTTAACCTGTTTATCAATACATCGTCTGTTTTTTTATCTAGTTTTTTTAATTTTGGTGTGGTTTTAATTCCTTGGGTTATTTTTAGTAATGCATTCATTATGTCTTTTAATGTGTTTTTTGTAATTTTTGTCGTTATTATATCATGTTTTTATGTAATCCAGGGCCCCCAGGGAGAACAGTTCACTGGCAACTGATGGGGCTACCCTGGTAAAATAACATGACATAAATAAATGAATAAATCTTTATCATATTAGCCAAAAAGTAAGTCTACAGAAAAATAATCAGTCATATTCCCTTTCAGTTTATTTGTACATGTAGAAGTAGCAGCAGACATTTACACAGTAAATAGTGCTTCACTTCAAAGCATTTTACAGGTCTTATTTTCCCTGTTTTAACAAGCAAACACTCCTGAAACCTGAACTCCCTAGGGAGCATACACGGCCAGCAGGCAGCCATTTTGGCGCTCTTGGCAGTAATCAACCTCTCACAGTAACCAACACTGCCCTCACAGGTACCCATCTACTCCTGGGTGGAGAGAAGCAATGAGTGACAAAGCCTACCGGTATGTAGGCAGCCATTTTGGCGCTCTTGGCCGTAATCAACCTCTCACAGTAACCAACTCTGCCCTCACAGGTACCCATCTACTCCTGGGTAAAGAGAAGCAATGAGTGACAAAGTACCTTGCCCAAGGGCACACGCACCATGACCCCAGGCTGGACTCGAACCGACAACCTGCAGAATTACCCGCAGACCACAAATTCAATGCCCAGACCACTAGGCCACGGCACTCCAAGTTCATAGTCATATAACATGAAGTACATAGTACATGTACAATGGACTATTTTTAATCCAATCACATCTGCAACTAATATTATAGGAACGAACATGTGACTCTATTTGCTGGTGAAACCAGACAAAAATTCCATCACAGTGACGAACAACGCACGAGACAGATTCATCAAATGTCGCTTCTAAACAGGAAGCATGACTATGAACATGAAGTCGAAAAACAAACTTTGGAGGTCTACATGCAAGATGTAAACAAAGTAGGAAGAATTTAAAGGGCCCATTTAATGTAATTGTTTTAGTGAAGTCCTTAAAAATGCACCTTTGTGTCCCATTTAAAATTATTTTCAATTATTTGTTTTTCCATTTGTAAGGGCAATCTGGTGCCTTTTTGGTTTTTACGCTACCGGTAGTGCAAATGTCCATATTCATGAGCAAAAAGTGTGATGTCATTTCAGACAGAAACCTCAATGTAACAGTTATTTCAGGACCAAAATTTGCCAGAAGTTGGGATATTTGGCTGTCGTAAATTTTCTTTTCTTTGGTGATTCGTTGTGTCAGTTCATGGCAGTAGGCCTGTGAGCAAAGTTTTCTCACAAATGTTTTCAATGAGCAAATTTTGGTTTCACAATTTCAATAGAAAACCACTAAACTGAATAGAGTCTTCCTGAAATGAAATCACAGCAACAGCGCCCTCATTTGTCAGGTAAAGCATGGACAAATTTAAATGTTCCAAAAAAGTGCACTATTCAATGAAATTAACCAAAACTGGATGTCAAACAGTTTTCATACATTTAAGAGGAGTAGAAAGTTGCACAAAATATGTTTCCAAGTAAAATTCAAGTTGTGGGCCCTTTAACTTAAAGCTACAGTCCATCATTTGCAGCTATCCAAAAAGTAACTGACGTAATTATTGTTGAAAAACATACTTGGTTGAAAGATAGTTAGGGACAGTGGCGTCGCCAAGGGGGGCCAGGGGGGGCACGTGCCCCCCCTGGAAAACCTAGTGCCCCCCCGAGTGCCCCCCCATCTGAGATTTGGGTTGGTAAAAAAATATATATATATTTTGTTATATTCAACTCCCATCATCTGAGTTGGTTAAATAGCAATTTCTGGAGATATCTTCAGATCGAATTTAGTATCAAATGTGGCACCATTTTGCATCTAGCCCATCCTCCGTATGCGAAAATTTTCCAAAGGGGAGGGGGGCACCCCCTCCCCTTAGACCCCTCCCCCAGGACGGCGATCCGTATCCACCTAAGTGCCCCCCATCAAATGCTGGTGCCCCCCCCCCCACCCCCCAGACTGAAAAGTCTGGTGACGCCACTGGTTAGGGAACTACATGTAAACTCCCTTTGAAATTTCTGGCATGCTGTCATTTTGAAGAAATCAACAAAAGAAGGCCTTTCCGTTGTAGCTGGGGTTTTTTATTCAGCAAAGTGCGCGCAAGCATTGACATGACGCACACGCGGTTGCTATAATTCGTCGGATCAGTGCGCGACATCGAGTAGCTACAAGCGGCTCAGTGAGAACGTGTCTCGGACGTTGAATTCAGGCCCAATTCAAAGCATGATTCAGCAACTTTTGATTTGAAATCGAGATCCAAAATGTTGTTTTTCTCCAAATATACAGCTGAAGCTGAGCTGAAACTTCATGAGGTTAGTTGTTCAGCACCCTTCATTAGATTTTGAGCACTTTTGTTGCTTCAAACGAACAAAATGCACAAATTACAAATGATGGACTGTACCTTTAAATACTTTACCGAATTACCTACATGTGGGAGTATGTCACCTTGACTTCGCTACTTGTTTGTTTATTGGCTCATGGATGAACTTGAACTTTGGGTTAGTTCATCCACCAAATGAATGTCCCACTACATAAACAATGATGACATCATTGGGTCGTTCATAACAAACCTTTTGTGAGAAATTGTTCAAGAGTAACATACAACATTTGCTTTTGCTGTAATTTCCAGAAATGGATGGATTTGGGGGTTAGTATTTTATAGCATATTGTTACACTGACAAGTTTACACAATTTTATGCGTTCATAAATGCTGGGAAAATCAAGAAAAAAAAAGCTGTTCTTGTAGTCTGGTTATCGGACCATACTTCAGATGAAACAGAGCAGTTTATAGATTGTCAGGTCAGGGAACCAGACCAGAAACTTGCACTTGTTCACGCATGTGTAACCGATTGTAAAAAAAATGTGGATTTACTAAATTTGGTAAATTGGGGGCAGTAAAAAAAGTCAGTTTTTTCCAACGATGATCAGCCAACCATTGTTGGAAATTGATACAAAATTCCACTTTTCTTGAAAATGACAGTACACTAGCTGCCATGATTTCACAGGATGCTTCAGACTGTGAATTCACTAACAGTCCAGCAAGGTATTTCATAACAATTTGGTACTTTTGTTTTTTGATGTTTGCAAATGTTGCACATTGCCTTTAATGTGGCTTGATTATCCTTGATAATTGGTAAAAAAAAAATTCACTTTTGATTATCGCAAGTAAAATGTTTTGTTTCAGAATCGTTTCCTAGTGCTGTAAGCTTTTAAAAAAAAATAAACCACAAAGGGAAACTGACTTGGTGCAAAAATATAACAATTTTAAAGCTGAACAAAGAAATTAACCGGAGCAGGGTTTTTTCTTTGGTTTTTCCAGCATCTATAAACACAAAACATTAAACATGTCAGTGTAACAATATTTGCTATAAAATACTAACCCTAAAATCCATCCATTTCAAAAAATTACAGCAAAAGCAAATGTTGTATATTACCTTTAAATTTTTTTTACAAATTTAAAAACCGACTTTGATGGAAACACGCTCCCAAATGGAATCAGAACAAATTCACTAATTGTTTTAGGTCACTCAAGCTTATTAATATTAATTTAAATAGTACAAACCTTCTGTAGTTCAGCGAGGGGCGAGTCGGATGACGAGATGGAACGATTCCTGCGGTCCTTGACTTTCGGCGAGGAGTTCGGCGTCTGAAAATCAAACGACAGACACAATTTGCAGAGCGATTTCATATACATGGTTCTCCTAGTTCCGAGTGCACTGATCACGCTGATCGGACTCAAGCTGGGCATCCCAAACGATGCCTTGCCTTTCATGTAGCCGTGTCTATGAAAAGTGGCTTAAGCTGCTTCCATAGGCCATGTGTGATTCCAAGTCATAGCCATTATCAATTCAGATGCGGCCTTATCTTGTTACATAATCTCCATCTGGGTGAGAATGTGAAACAGCACCAATGTGGACAGGGTTAATGTATCTGCTAAGTTTCTCTTTATTTCATCAGTAAACACATGCACAAGATGCAGATTATCTGCAGATGATTATTTTGTCAGACAAATTTCTTGAATGAGCGGAGCGCCAGAGTGGAGATAAGAAAGCCACTTAGATCTTAAGACTGGAGGAGAGGCAGTCGACGATGTTTAGATAATTTACAACATCCATTGCAGACATTTTGAATTATGTAATGAAGACTTTTCAATGAATGGGGAGTCACCATAGAGCTATAATCAATTACTAGAGCGATGACTCGATGTACAAAGTGATGCCTGCTGGGCACATCCATGTTTGTGCACAACCCTATGGAAAGCTCGAAATTTTGTACGACTTTTGTACGGCTATCTGCGTTTGTATTCTATACAGGAACGTTACCGAGGCCAATATACCCAGAATCAAAAAGCACTTTCAGTAAAAGGACCTTTCGTTTTGCATTGTGCAAACAATGCAAACCCGTATCCGCTGCAGATGATTTTTTTGCCGTGACGTGTTTTAACCGTCATGACTTGCTTATACAAATATTGCTCTTCCGCAATGCATTACATTATTATTCAAAATTTCCTCAATCTAATTTAGTTATGTTCTACAAACATGCACATGAATTCAAAATGTCTGCACCCAGGACGGCTTCATAGGTATCTACACACGTAAGAATGAGGACACACCATAAATATATGGGACACACTGAGGTATTTGGTTCCCCTCAATAACTAATGGTTCAGCCCCCCCCCCCCCCCCCCGAGAATTATGCAACCCTGTGATTAAAAACGTATGGTCATTATCACCTACATTGTAAAGAGGAAAAAAATTAGCTGTATGTATTTCTCTTCATCAAGTCTTTCTTTTGCATCTTTAAATTTGCATATACGTAATTCGGATATTTATACAGCATTTGTTCATTTTTTTACAACTGGTTCAAATAAAGAGGCGCTGTGCCATATAAAAGCTTTTGGAGGGGATAGGAGGGTATTTTCTGTCTGCATAAAAAAAAAACATATTCAGTGATAATGAAAACGAAATGGAAATAGAATTCTTCCTTCAAATCCGTCAGGTGCACCCAGGCCCGGATTATCCAATGGGCACAGTAGGCACTGTGCCTAGGCTGCGAAAGATTTGGGGGCCTACGAAAAGTTTGAGGGCTTAGGAAAATACCACAGTGTGCCATAAACACTTCGAACCATCCACACACGCACAAGAAATCTTTTTAACGTCTTAGCGTCTCTATATTGGGAAAGCTTAGCATCAACATGAAATGTGAGGCTCCAGTGCTTAGGCCAAAAAAAAAATAGTTCTGCTTCCGATTACATGCCTTTCAAAAATAGGGTCGGTCGGTCGGAAATTTTTTTTTTTTTGCCAATTTTTTTTATGCAGATTGAATGGGGTATTCAATAATATGCAAAGTTTTAGCCTGAACTATTTCCATTGCACTACAAAAGCTATACACGAAAAGGCAACAAAAAGTGAATAAAACCTACCTTTAATTATTGTCAATATATTTACGTTCGATAATTTCAAAAAATAATGGAAAATTCAGGTCGTTCGCACAATATGCACAACGCTAGTCAAGACGCGGAGAGCTGGCCAAAACTCCGAGGTGTGTGATGCGTGCATGTGTGGCGAGTGGCCCACCATGGGCCGACAGACCTGTTTTTACGGTCAAAAATTTCGGGAAACACGCGGCATGTATCACTCCAAATACGAGTAGTGCGATCTCAAAATGAACTCTTGAACACAGAAAACACATACACAGACAAGCTAGATCAATTCTGTAAATTAACTTGCAAAAATGTTCTTTCTCCATCGGTGTTTTCTTGGCATTTTTACGATGTCGAATCCGACTAGTTGACAGTGGCCTGCAATAGCGCGCTATCGGTCGCATACAATGTAGCTATGGACTGGTTACCGCATTTTCATCATGTCTTCTAAATTGGCCCCTGCGCAGCGCAGCGGGAACCAGTCGTCGCCACGAGATTACGGTGATTATAGTCACCGTTACATCGAATTGCGAAGTAGTTATATCGCGAAGTGAATTTGTAAAAATAATGGAGGTTTCTTTTGATAAAAAGCGAATGTAAGTAAGAAAACAAATAAATACAAGCATTTTTTTTATGCAAATGGGTTGTTGAGAGGTATTTTGTGAAGACAGAAAAGACAACAAGATTTTATTTTTATTTATTCAATTTTTTTTTTTTTTTTTTTTTTCGAATTGCTGATAAAAATTTTAGGGTCGCAGCCTAAAAATAGGGTCGGTCGGGTAACCGGAAGCAGAACTATTCTTTTTTTTGGCCTTATCAACGCTATGAAACTGATGTTGGTGCCTCGGACGAAATAGAGCCTACGGAACACTTAATCTGGCCCTGTGTGCACCAAGAGGTGACGGATCGTCTATGGACTTTGCGCACACGATACGTCACTTCGTGGTGCGACCGACGAATCGTTAGCTATGTAGTAAGGCTGAATGCCATCGCTGGTTGAAGTATACTTACAAGAGTGTGTGTTCTTCTTATGGCCGTCTTGCGAGTCAGGGTTTTCCTTACAACGTTCCTGCAAAATCAAGCGAAAAAAATACAGGCCTGGGTGAGATTGCTGGAAATAAAAATTCCATGAAATAATCGGTTAAAGGCTTGAGGTTTACTGGGGGCCCCAAAACCAATGTACAGTCTAAGGTATACCGACCGGTATATTTGTATTTGCCTGAAGCCTTTGATGTAAATGTCAAACCTCAGGAATTCCAGATTTTAAAATCTTGAAATCAGGAAAAATCGGATAAAATATCCTGAATTCAGAAAAATTTCCTGTCCAAACAAATCCTGAAATCATGAAAATCCTGACCAAACATATCCAGAAATCGGGAAAAATCCTGACCAAAAAAATTCTGAAATCATGAAAAATCCTGACCAAAAAATATCCTGAAATCAGGAAAAATCGTGACCAAAAAATCTCGAAATCAGGAAAAATCCTGACCCAAAAATCCCGAAATCAGGAAAAATCGTGACCAAAAATATCCTGAAATTAAACAAAAATTCTAACCGAAAATATCCTGAAATTAGAAAAAATCCTGAAAACAGGAAAAATTCTGACCAAAAATATCCCGAAATCATGAAAAATCCTGACCAAACAATCCTAAAACCAGGAAATATCTTGACCCAAAAAATCTGAATTCAGGAAAAATCCTGACCACAAAAAACCCGAAATCATGAAAATTCTGTCCAAAAAAATGTCCAAAAAAAATCCCCAAATCATGAAAATCCTGACAAAAAAATCCAAAAATCATGAAAATCCTGTCCAAAAAAATCCCCAAATCATGCAAATTCTGTCCAAAAAAATCCCGAACTCAAGAAAATCTAGACAAAAAAAATTCTGAAATCCTGAAAAATGAAGAAATCGGGAAAATCTTATCCCTGAAAATATACATAATTCTTCTTTATGATCTCATTCTTATTCCCAAAGCACTTATTTTGTAAGGTCAGGGAACCAGTCTAGCTGGCTTGTACCCATTCATAGGTGTGTAACTGATTGCAAACAAATGCCGACTAACTAAATATGTGGTAAATTTGGGGCAGTGTTTGAAAAATAGCCAGTTTTGTCCAATGCTGGTCAGTCGACCAGTGTTGGAAATTGATACAAAAATACCACTTTTCTTGAAAATTACAGCACACCACGGGCCCCCCTATTTCACAGGATGCTTTAGACTGTAATTCAATAACAGTCCGGTAAGGTATTTCATAATAATTTGGTAGTTTTGCTTTTTGATGTTTGCAAATGTTGTATATTCCCTTTAAAAACAAAAAAAGACCAGCTAGAGTTTGCGACGACTGACCTTTAACAGCGCGGGAAACAGAAAGTGAAAATGAAAACAACACTTCAAGCAATGCTACTCTAGAGTAACCTGGAGTTCAGGAAAAGGAGTTTCGATTTTCCAGACCGGAATAGTGTTATTTGCCGACCCACATGTTCCTATAAAAGTTCACCAATTGTGGGTTTATGTTTCATTATCATACTATTAAAAACAACAGCATGACTATGTTGATTTTGTATTTTGAACTTGTCTTGTACATATTTGCTTTGAACACAACTTTAATTAGTTTCAGAAGCATTGTTCTCTTTTCAAGTTTTTAGGGCTGTCCTTTTTCGAAAATTTAGTATTCGATTACTCGTAACTGTTTTTGACCGAATATTCGGATATTCGAAACTGCCTGCAGCAACTGCATGCCGCGCCGGTCAAAAGTTGCATGCAGAGCGCGCCAGTTAAAATTTGTGTTCAGCAATTGAATTGGAGTGTTTTGCAGTGTGTACACATATTTCATAATTGTCAAGGTTTTTTATCTGCCAACACAAAAAGTGGCATCCGACAATAAAATGCCGCAACTATACGATAAAATAACATCACAGTCGTGTGTGTATGTGAGTAATTGTTTTGTTTTTGAATATCAGAGCGGCAAAAACCTAATTCGAACATTCGGTTGATGATCAAATGTTTGTATAGTGGAAGGTTTGTTTATGGTGTAAATCGAAGATTTTCGTTTGTTCCTCTTCCCTTTTCCTTTGTTTGTACTTTTTCGCAACAGCTCTCATTGGTTTTGTGCACATTTTCCAACTGAGGAGTCCTCATTTCGGTTTCTGTCCTCGATTCTCCGATGATTTTGCACGTGTGTGTCCTTGATTTTACATGTAACACGCGCTCATATGTACATGTATGTGTGTTTACTTCACCTTACAGCATGGATAAAAATGTACATGTACACTACTACACTACACTCTATACATGTACATGTAGCTTGATCATGTTGACGAAAACTGTTTTCAATATCTCATCAGGAACTTGGTCAGGAAGTACATGTACATGTATGCCTCGGGTCAATTTGGTGTCCAAAGCAAACACAGGGAGTCAGGGACTGTCCCTGCACAAGACCTTTATATCCCGTGACAATTAAACATTTGGTTTGTTTCTGAAACTATCCGAAATCATGTTCCGGTACAGTATGTACAGACCTACCAAACAATCCTCAGACAAAACATTTAGAAGTATGTACTACAGGTTGAGTCTAAAAAAGCGAAACCCAAAAGTCGGGACTATTGTTTTAGTGAAATTCTGCATGTAGCTCTTTCTAAATCTAGGATATGAAAGTCCAATTCATAAGCTTTCTTTTATACATGTACATGTAGTTACAAAAATCATTCAAATCACTAAGTGTTCTTTCAGCAAAACGAAAACAAATCACAGGGATGTGTGTGAATTGTTTTCGTTTTGCTGAAGGAACGCACACTTTTTTTTGTGATCCGTGGACAGAACTTTAAAAACAGTGGTTGTGTTTAAAACTCCGTAACTTGAAAAGTACATGAGTGATTTGAATGATTCTTGTACTAAAAGAAGGCTTATGAAGTGGGCTTTCATATCCTAGATTTTGAAAGTGCTACATGCAGAACTTCACTAAAACAATGGTCCCGACATTTGGGTTTCACTTTTTTTTGACTAACCCTGTACTAGACAAAATGGTAAACTTTGAAGGTTGACAATAAGAACACCATAGGCTACTGGTATGCTACATGTAAATTGTCCTTTTAATTCTTCAGTCAAAATCAATCAACTGATTGTTTTCAACAGTTAAGAGCTTCCAGCCTATACCTATTAAAAAAGCAGGATTGACTGGCTGTGACTGCTTATGTAACTTGATACGGTAGATGCTTTGACTGTGGGTGAGTGATAAGCCAGCTGTGCCTACAATGTAGGTACTTCTTGCCTGCTTTTGTCTGTTGACTGAATTTGACTAGTCACAGTGCTTGTATAAATACACTTCCTGAAAAAAACGCCTTCAGGACAGATTGCGTAGTAAACTTCTTAGTCTCGAACTATCCTGCACATTAAAAGACAGCTCACATCATAAATGTACATACTTCCAACTGAGCGTTTCCAAATTAGAAACTACATTTCCCAGGCAAGGATTGAAGGAACAATACTTACGGTCTTACATAATGCACAACTAACTCTTCCACTTCGTACACTATTCGTAGTTTCAGTTTCATATTTGCCGTAACACTCAAAAAAGGGGAGAAACAATGCAGCACATCTACAAACTTGTATTCAAAATAAACTGCACACCAGTAGCTACCAGTAACAAAAACACCGCATTAGGAGACAGCTCTTATGAAGTAAATATTGACTCCGTCTGAGTCAACAAATGGCTCATTTTTCAGAAATTTAATTGCTGGGTAAACACCGTCTGATTAGATTAAATTGTCCGACAGATAACACCCAAGCAACAAAGAAAGATAAGATTTGGATATTTAGTTTAACTACTGTTACGCTTCTGTTTATTTGGTCAGTGTGTGCATGTGTATCCTCCGATAACCCATTGTCATTTAACCCCAAAAGATCTAACAAGACAAAATTCTTTGATTTAATTTTCTTTGAAAGAATCTTGATTGGATTTCGATGAATTAGACATTATTTGGCGACTCTTAAAAGCTTTGCTCTCAGGGGTGTGCAATACAGGTAATACAGGAATCGGGTACCCGATTGAAAAAAACACGGGTACCCGGGTATCCGTTAAAGAAACCCAACCCCAAAATTTGTATTTCGGAAGTTGCTGTTCACATTGTTCAAAGGTCCCACGATGACTATTCCAAACCGGTGCATCAAAACAGTAAGTGTGTACAGTGAGCTCTTTAGCTTTACGGTGTAAATTGCATTTTTGCAAGCATCAAGAATCTGTTTTGTTTTTCCATGTAGCCTACTTTTGATTTTGAAAATTCTCCATAAATGAAATTCAAAACCTTTCTCTTTCATTGTCTGAGAAGTTGTAAGTAATATGTAAAGGTATAATTACGAGTACTCGATTCCATAATCTGGAACCGGTTTCTGATATCAGCGGTCGGGTACCCGGTTCCGATGCACGGCCCTAATTACTTTGCTAGTCGGTAGCAAAAACTCAGCAGCAAAATACGCCAAACAGTGAGCGTTGTTAAGAGGGCTGACATTTTGGGGGGAACGCCCGACAGTTCATGCCTGTTATAACATGGTAGACATTGACTGCACGCAACAACACTGGGCATTTTTTAAGGCAAAATAATCAAGTGTCTTGGAGGGTCTGGTTGATGTGTATCATCAGTTCACGCCGGGATTATTTTGACAAGAACGGAACGAGGCGCAGGATTACTTTTAACTCGACCTCAAGCCAGGCGGGTTGAAGCCATCACCCTCAGGCAGCACACTCATATTTCCGGCCTCGCTCGCTGCGAGCAGGTCGCAATAATTCTGGCCTCGCACGCTGCGTGTTTATCCGTCATCCGTCCGAATACCAAAACCTTACATCATCCGACGTGAACTGGCTCAGAGGATTAGCATTTTGGGGGGAATGCTCGACAGGTCATCATCTCTGCTATAATCTTGCAGATATTGAAGCTGCGCGCAACAAACACTGGGAATTTTTTATTGCAAATTAAATAACAAAGTGTCTTGGAGGGTCTGGTTGATGAATAATTAAATAGCTGGAGTTTGCCATCAACAACGGTGATTCCAAAACTGCTACCCTGTGGCGACCCGG